AAAAGACAATCGAAGAAACGTCGACGAAGTTTCGTACAGGCCGCGTCGCGCCGTGCAGAGAGACAACAAATAAAAGAGAGGCGAACAAAAAGAAGAAACGCTTCGAATTTTCGTGTAAAATGCAAATAAGCATTCTCCGTGTTTGCACAGCGCGGCATTAAACACTGGATAAAGGTGCAAACGAAATTCTGAAGTGCACAGACCGGGCTGGAAACGCGTTTCCTTTCCGGGACCCCATAAACGGGCCACTACACCACGGTGCACAAGGTGTTTCTAAATCGTCGCGTTACGTCTACACATTCTCGCGCGAACTTGGATCATTTCTCCTCTTATTTTATACCCAGCGTCTCCTCTTCATCATAATGCTCAGCTTAAATAAAGGAATCATCTCTCGATCGTTTTACTTCGATGAAGAGAGAAGAGACATTCAGTGGCCCGTATACGGATCGTGAGATAAAAATCGGCCGAATTAACGGTGTCAGATCGGATCTTCGTGGTAATATAAAATAGCCAAGAAAATGTACACTGGGGTGTCCTATATTTGTGGTATGATCGAAGGATTTCGCGTGACAGATATTACTACGTTGGAAATCGGAATGACGAATTTACGTTGGTTTTTAGGAGAACTAACGAAGTATTCAAAGTAAATAATTGACGAGAAGATTACCATCTAGAGAACATAGAACAAAGGTTTTTCGATTAAAGTCTGGTTCAATCTGGTGTTAATTTGACGCGTGCATATTTAATCTCAGTCTCGAGTTCAATTTCCTCCGAAACGAGATCTTAAAGGAAGCATCTTCGTTCTATATTTCCGGCTTATTTCCGCACGTTTCTTTCAGAATGATCTTCTGTCAAATTTCTGAGGTCGAGATTCGTAAGATCACGTAATACTTAACTCGAAAGCTTCGATTCGTTCTTCTCTTTATTTCGACTCGTAGAGTCAATCTGTTTGTGATTCCAATGGTACCATGAAATTCAGGACCACAGTGCGTGTATACGTGAGGTAATACAGAAAGGAAACAAGGCCGATTTATCAGCTACTACATACCTCGGACAAGGAGTCCTCCATCATATCGCTGGTATCTCTCATGACTCTCAATGGAAACTAGCACCGACAACAATCACTCAACGCCCACGTTTTATCCGTTTCCTCCTCCGGGCCCGTATCTTTCACTGCCTCTGTCCTGTACGTTCCTCCTTTTTCTACTTCGAACGTGTATATATATATATATATATA